TTAAGGATTCAAAGTAGTATAATAACTTCTGATATTTCTTTCTCATTAAACTTCTCCCAAGTGTCGGATATTATATGCAAAGCCACAGATGTTTATGAAACATTTAAGTTTACCATATTTGCAATTCCAATGTTAGGAAAGATAGTATACATGTATTACAAGCAGTTATAGGGAAAATGGCATATGACTTCAAAATAATCTAAGTGAAAAACTCAAGATCTAAATTATTACCAGAGTAATGAATAAACGATTGCAAAAAAATGAGTTAAGCTATTGTGCAAGTAATTCATACCATGAAGTATTCTGCTTACAAATCAGTATTACGGATATCATAAAAAATGTCCTCATATGCATTCCATTTGAATAAAATTATCAATTAATTCATTGTGTCAAATTACGAGGCACAGACTGGTGAATTAAGTGCTTATGAAAGTTATTGCAGCGTGTTACATCGGAAAAGTACAACGCTGTATGTTGCGATAGCTCATACAAAATTTATTAGTATTTATTTTCATCGTTCTATTTCTAATTGGATAGAATTTGTATAGGTAGCAATTAAATCTCACAAAATGGAGGTTTCAGAGCTGAGAATCATATTAAATTATTAAGTTACCGTTATTGATTTTATGGTAAATGTTAATTACGTTATATGCATATACTTTATGTACATACCAGGTGAACGACTTATCGAACAAAGGAACATATAAGACATTTAATAAGAAACAAATTTTTTATCCGAATAAATTGTATTGAACATAAAAAGAAAAACATACATTTCAGAAAAATAAAATCAAATGGAAATAATAAATTACGTGATAGTATTATTATAAGTTCTATGCTTCGTAAATACCTTTAAATTAATACGTCATTTTGCAACACGTTCGTTTCACAAGTTTATATTCGTAATATTCAGCGCTATTCATTCTTTGTTTATGAAATTATTATCAACATGGTGATGCGTTTTATATCAAAATAAAATAACAACATTCGATCACTTTTTAACTGTATCTAGAAACAATGACTGTTGCGAAACAAATGACACGCCATTAATTACATTTATGCTGTCATCAATGCAATAAAAAGTTGATTTATAATAGAAAACAAGTGATGAACGACGAAGTTTAGACTCTGTTTGAAAAATTTAGTAAAAAATTGATTGGAAAAGCTATTTAATACAACGAAGTCACCTTGAGATTTCGAAAGCGACTTCAACTACATAGATGAAGTCTGATGATCACCATAAGATGTCCCCTTTGCAAAAGAACAAGACTTATTTGAAATGCTTTTTCAAGTAATGTATAGTTTAGGTTCTAAATTGTGTGGTTATATTAAAATGAGATACCACCCCTTATATATAAAACAGAAAACATTAAACCTTCATCTAATTATCCTAATCAATATCTCTTTAACACGTTCCGTGTAATTTGATATTACATTAAAACTTGATATATTATATGTAATTATTAACTATCGTATATACATATAATTAATAATAAATATATAATAATAATAAATATATATTATAATATAATTATAATATAATATATATATAACAATGAAACAAACTTATTACGACTAAATTTGTTATAAACTATTTTTTTCGGGTATTAAATAAACGTGTAAGCATCTGACACCATCGGTCGTACACGTGGCGCGGAACGTGTTGCATAGAATTCATTTACTAATAGCAGGGCTAATGGTGAAATTATACAAATGCAAATTATCGGTGTACAAGGTCTTGTCATCACTCACGAAGTAGTTTCTCAGTTATTAATTGTTCTTCATTTCACCTTGCTTAACAAAGGTCTAACTAACGCAGCAGTTTCAAATGCATCAATGACTTCTTCAAAAGTTTCTGCACTTACAGAACTGGGTGATGTTGTCGAAAGCTTACACCATCATCGATTTCAGTCGCATTGAAATATGTCATAAAGGCCGATATTCTGAACAACTTTTTTCTTTTCCAATTAACGCCGGACGGGCTTAGTTCTCGAGATATTAGATTAATATTAAATTATTATATTAATATAATATTATAAATCATATATTATATAAATTATTATATTAATATAATGTTATAAATTATTATATAAATTATTATATTAGTATAATATTATGAATTATTATATATAAATTATTATATTTATTAATATATTAAATTATGTATACATATGTGCATAACGTGGCACAGGGTGAGTAAGCCGGCAGCCGTCGCTCGTTCGTCAACTTCACCCAGATGTGCATATCACAATTTCTTATTACGTTTACGAATAGAAAACAGTTGCCAGATAGCAGAAAATTGAATCAAAGGATTGTTAAACGGACGACAGAGACTGAACGATTACTGAATGCACCGGTTTCTATCAGAGGTCACGGTTTTGGTCGTGTATTAAATGCACATGGAACACGTGTACCGTGCATTAAGACAGGGATCTCTAGTTTCTATCTGCACTATATTATTTACTTCTAAATCCTCCAATCGACATTTTCGTCCGAGTTTACATTAGAATCAAATCATCAGGTGAAGTTATTATTTCATCAATTTAATTGAAATTATATTGGGGGAATTATATTATAATTAAAAAATTATATTATATAAAATTATTTATATATTATATTATATTTATATATTATATTCATATTATATCAAATTATATTTGATTTTTTCTCCTCGATAACTACAGAACTAGGTTGCAAAACGAAAACTGTCATTTGTAGTTCGAGATCACAAGAATGTCATCGTAAAAGGAAATTTTTTAATTAAAAGAAGATTACTTGTTTCTTTAAATTGACCTCATTAAACTGAAATTATTCGACAACAGGGATGAAACGAAAGGAGGTGGTTACGAAAGCATTACTCAAAAACAAATTATAAAAAATGTAGACGGCAGATATATCGATAGAAAACATTTTTCTACGCGTGTAGGTATACGGGGAAAATGACGTTAGACGAAACGTAGGAGTATAAAATTGTATATTATTCGAGGAGACGAAACAATTTGCGTGCTAAATGGATTTTACACGAATAAATCGAGAAGTGAAATAGTGGGCAGTGCAAAACCAACGTCGCAAAAAAGAAAAAAAATCAGTACATGTAATACAGTCGTTTCATTCAGTTCGTTGTTTTCTTTAGCGATTTTCTTTAGTTGTTGATGCATTTATTCGCAGATATCCTCACGTCAGTAGTTCCGGAACGGACAACCGACACGGCACCCCAGTAGCAAGAGGTCGCGGACAGCTCGACTTGGGACGAAGCCGATTGCGCACTAGATTGCAACGAGTTAACTGTGCTTTCGTATGCCCTGATCGACATGTTCACGGTTGCCAGTTTGCTAACGGCACAAGTTTGCATTTGGATTATGTTCGACGAGTAACACTCCAGCATGATACTGTCCAATTGACTGATGTATTTGTCTGCAGTCTGAAAACAATACAATTGGAACTTAGTTAAAGTGCCAGATTACACCGTTTCAAGTTCCAGTTGCTGTTCTTGCATTGCTTAACAATTAATTGAGCGTACTAAACACTTGATAACTGTAAACATTCACAAATATTTATATAGGAGATCTTCTTTTTCCAACCTTTATGATCCTATATATATATATTGGTAACTGTAAATATCCACAAATATTTATATAGGAGATCTTCTTTTTCCAACCTTTATCATCCTATTTATATATTGGTAACTGTAAACATCCAGAAATATTTATATAGGAGATCTTCTTTTTCCAACCTTTATCATCCTATTTATATATTGGTAACTGTAAACATCCAGAAATATTTATATAGGAGATCTTCTTTTTCCAACCTTTATCATCCTATTTATATATTGGTAACTGTAAACATCCAGAAATATTTATATAGGAGATCTTCTTTTTCCAACCTTTATCATCCTATTTATATATTGGTAACTGTAAACATCCAGAAATATTTATATAGGAGATCTTCTTTTTCCAACCTTTATCATCCTATTTATATATTGGTAACTGTAAACATCCAGAAATATTTATATAGGAGATCTTCTTTTTCCAACCTTTATCATCCTATTTATATATTGGTAACTGTAAACATCCAGAAATATTTATATAGGAGATCTTCTTTTTCCAACCTTTATCATCCTATTTATATATTGGTAACTGTAAACATCCAGAAATATTTATATAGGAGATCTTCTTTTTCCAACCTTTATCATCCTATTTATATATTGGTAACTGTAAACATCCAGAAATATTTATATAGGAGATCTTCTTTTTCCAACCTTTATCATCCTATTTATATATTGGTAACTGTAAACATCCAGAAATATTTATATAGGAGATCTTCTTTTTCCAACCTTTATCATCCTATTTATATATTGGTAACTGTAAACATCCAGAAATATTTATATAGGAGATCTTCTTTTTCCAACCTTTATCATCCTATTTATATATTGGTAACTGTAAACATCCAGAAATATTTATATAGGAGATCTTCTTTTTCCAACCTTTATCATCCTATTTATATATTGGTAACTGTAAACATCCAGAAATATTTATATAGGAGATCTTCTTTTTCCAACCTTTATCATCCTATTTATATATTGGTAACTGTAAACATCCAGAAATATTTATATAGGAGATCTTCTTTTTCCAACCTTTATCATCCTATTTATATATTGGTAACTGTAAACATCCAGAAATATTTATATAGGAGATCTTCTTTTTCCAACCTTTATCATCCTATTTATATATTGGTAACTGTAAACATCCAGAAATATTTATATAGGAGATCTTCTTTTTCCAACCTTTATCATCCTATTTATATATTGGTAACTGTAAACATCCAGAAATATTTATATAGGAGATCTTCTTTTTCCAACCTTTATCATCCTATTTATATATTGGTAACTGTAAACATCCAGAAATATTTATATAGGAGATCTTCTTTTTCCAACCTTTATCATCCTATTTATATATTGGTAACTGTAAACATCCAGAAATATTTATATAGGAGATCTTCTTTTTCCAACCTTTATCATCCTATTTATATATTGGTAACTGTAAACATCCAGAAATATTTATATAGGAGATCTTCTTTTTCCAACCTTTATCATCCTATTTATATATTGGTAACTGTAAACATCCAGAAATATTTATATAGGAGATCTTCTTTTTCCAACCTTTATCATCCTATTTATATATTGGTAACTGTAAACATCCAGAAATATTTATATAGGAGATCTTCTTTTTCCAACCTTTATCATCCTATTTATATATTGGTAACTGTAAACATCCAGAAATATTTATATAGGAGATCTTCTTTTTCCAACCTTTATCATCCTATTTATATATTGGTAACTGTAAACATCCAGAAATATTTATATAGGAGATCTTCTTTTTCCAACCTTTATCATCCTATTTATATATTGGTAACTGTAAACATCCAGAAATATTTATATAGGAGATCTTCTTTTTCCAACCTTTATCATCCTATTTATATATTGGTAACTGTAAACATCCAGAAATATTTATATAGGAGATCTTCTTTTTCCAACCTTTATCATCCTATTTATATATTGGTAACTGTAAACATCCAGAAATATTTATATAGGAGATCTTCTTTTTCCAACCCTTATCGTCCTATATTGAGCATAATGAGCGAACAAATATTTCGTAATTGTATTCGCCGAATAAACTTTCTGCGAGATTCGCAACCATGGAAGTTAGTTGGAAGCTTATTTGGTTTAAACAAATGTCTGCTTAGTCTCGGTCTTAGATTATGACTTATGACCACTGCCGTACAGTTTCTTGTGTAGTGCTTACCGCTTGAGCCGAGTCGAGATTATTCCATTGCGCTTGCAGTTGCTGTTTTCCGTTTTGCTCGCATTTGTTGAGATCTGAAAATCCTGCCAGGCTGAGAGTCCTGAGGGTAGCTTTGGCATCGGTGTAACACTGTTCCTTGTCCTTTCCTTGTCCTTTAGCAGCGTCCACGCTCGTCTAATAATATTGTGAGACATCGTTCTCGTCAGATATGTTAATTGATTCCTATTTATATTCTGTACAAATTGAAATTGTGCCAGAACACTTTGCGTAGCCGAAGATGAATACTCACGCGAATGTCATTCAAAGCTGGGTTCACAATGTCGTTCAGTTGCTGCATTTGCTCGATCTTCTTGTTGGATAATCTGTTCTCCGTGTTGAATTTCAAATTGTTCGAGAAACGTTTCAAGTTGGACTTGATCGAGTTAACATTGTTCTTTGCCCTCTGGATTTGCTGCGTTACCTGATCCAATGGGCCGTACGCCTAAAATACAAACATAGCGATCAAAGTCTCGGAAGCCGACCAATGAATTTATAAATTATTCGTTATCTTGCGTCGTGAAAGAAAGGATATTTCATGATTTCCATTGCCTTCTTGTTATGTCGATCAATAAATATACACTGATCTTATACATTGATCAAAAAGTTGATGTATTATCTAATCTCTTTCTTTCTGTGTGCCTTTATTTTCGTAGAACGTTGGTTAATAATACTGATTCAACGATAAGACATTATAGTGATTACAGTTTAGCAGTTCTCATGACTTATTCACCATTTGATATTTCGGTATTCAAGAAGAAGATTGAGTCTTTTCGCGCGGACTTCTTATCGAACGCGACTTTGACATTTCCGAAAAATCAGTAAACTTGCTGAGAGATGTACATTCAATATAATATTGTTCAATCTACTTCTATGAATTAAATTAGATCAAATAGATCATAAGTTATAATTCTATGAAAATCTTTCTTATAATTGCTACAATATTCTTCAACATGAAATTCTAATACAATACATTGTAACAATTTTTGTTTATGCTTTCGCCGACGTTGAATGACTATTTAGTCATCCTCTTTCAAGATATAATTAAATTAATTACAAAAGCTTCGTGAATCTGTCTCCGAATGTATACAAATCGTCAAGAGATAATTAGACTTGCTGAGAGATGTACATTCAACATAATATTTTTCGATCTACTTCTATGAATTAAATTAGCTCAAATAGATCAAAAGTTATAATTCTATGAAAAGCTTACTTATGATTGCTACAATATTCTTCAGCATGAAATTCTAATATAAGCGTAATTATAAAACACAATGTAACAATTTTTGTTTATGCTTTCGCCGACATCGAATGACTATTTAGTTATCCTCTTTCAAGATATAGTTAAATTAATTACAAAAGCTTCGTGAATCTGTCTCCGAATGTATACAAATCGTCAAGAGATAATTAGACTTGCTGAGAGATGTACATTCAACATAATATTTTTCGATCTACTTCTATGAATTAAATTAGCTCAAATAGATCAAAAGTTATAATTCTATGAAAAGCTTACTTATGATTGCTACAATATTCTTCAGCATGAAATTCTAATATAAGCGTAATTATAAAACACAATGTAACAATTTTTGTTTATGCTTTCGCCGACATCGAATGACTATTTAGTTATCCTCTTTCAAGATATAGTTAAATTAATTACAAAAGCTTCGTGAATCTGTCTCCGAATGTATACAAATCGTCAAGAGATAATTAGATAGAAATTATTTAGAAAACTACAGAAAATTTTAAGAATGTTCCTATATTATTCCCAATTCATCATGAATGCGCGAGTAATCAATTTTTACTTAATCCCTGCTTCCTACAATTAAAGCAACAAATTTTACACTCGCGTAAACCTCCGCGGTCGAATTATACTGTGTAGCGTTTTAGTTGAGAATGTATAAAAATGAATGGGAATATGAATGTGAATATGAATATGAAATGAATATGAATTTTATGAATGCATAAAAATCTACAATTATGAAAAAAAGCACTTACCTGGACGGCACAAAGAGCCACGAGGAAAAGGCAAATTGCGAAAAACGACTTCATGTTGCGAGCTGCGTAAACTACAAAGATTATCTTGGCACTGTGCGACCGTGAAGTGATAAAGGCAGACGCGAACTGTTTCCTTTTATAGGTGAGCGGCTGCGAGACAAATTAGTGCATCGGGCGGAGGGGTACGCACGATAACGCGTTCACGAACACAGATCATAGTTGCATGGTGATTCCCCGCAGTATCGCGAGTTAAGAATTCGCGGGCAAATGATGCTGAAATAACTGGAGGACATAACTGTGCAACTGGTGTTATGCTTTATTTTCCTAACGGGTTTTCCCGGTTTACAGACGGATATTAAAACGTTCGGGGCATCCCAAAACGGAACCTGTTGTCCGAAACAGTCCTCAAAGATTTTCCATAGTTTCAAATATTTCTCCGCGGATTACTGTTGTTTTCCTCTTCTTTCTTGCTTAGCAGTCTTTATGTATACTTAATCTAATACACACGGGTCAGCAAAAATTACAATGATACGCGAACTATTCGAGTAACTTCTGCGCCTCTTCTTTGATCTTTGTAGAATACAAAATGATTCGGATTAAAAATATTGTTTGTATTTAACAATGTGAGCGTATTCGGCTCAGAACTATAATATTAAGACATTTTTTGTATTTGTCAGTATCAACATTCGCAAGCGGAAATGCGTAATCGTTTCCGTACTTTGATAATAATCGAGATATAAATCCGATAAAAAGTTCGAGTGTTATTGATAGAAATGATGCTTAGCTGATATATCCCTTGATACGAGCCCAATCTTCATTCGATATTGCTGAGGAAACAGGATGAAACAGCTTGAAACTTCGCAGGCGTTGCCATTTTTAACGAACACATTTTTTTTTATTTTTATACGAGCAAGACTCTTAGGAAGTGTATGTGTGTATAAGTATATGTATATTGAAATTCTGAAATCTTTTGGGTAAGCAACGAAATCATTTGAGCACCTGTGCACACTGCAAAACTTATTTGGTACTGCAAAGTATATCTGAATATATTCTTCACTGTTGTTGCAAAAAAAAGTTAAACGATTAAAACTGGTTAAAATCATCAATATATCTTTTATTTTATTCAATTTATTATTACCTTCCAGAATTATTTTTCCTTAAACAAATTATAACGATAATAAATGACACATTTGATAAGATATAAGATTGCAATTCCGGGCAATTATTCCGCAATTCTCTCTCTCTCTCTCTCTCTCTCTCTCTCTCTCTCTCTCTCTCATTTATTCATAAGATCCAATAATGTTGTGTAGATTGAAAGCATCGATAAAATTAGCAGTGCTTGAAAGTAATAAATATTATCGCGCTATTCATTGGAAATAATGATCCTATCCCAGAATTTATCAATTAGCCAACAAATCTTTTGTCAGGGCCTTCTGGAAAATGCAATCTTATCTTCTTGCTGCAGAGAATTGCTTGATGTTTTCCATACACATAGGTGTTTTCCATACACATTGATGTTAACTTTGTTACCTTACGATAATTTTAACGTTATAGTTCGTTTCTTTTCACGACAATAAAATCTTGAACCCTTCGTGTGTTTTCCTTGAGAATTCTTTCTTTGGAAAGCAACTAAT